CTGATTGCGTAATAGTGACAACAGCAGTAAACTGCTCGAGCAAATCTGTACCCGCTAAGCCCAAAACGTGCCCCTGCTGGGTCAGCAAACTGCTAGCTATGCAGTGCCTTACGTACTCTACACATGAACTGGTTATCTGTGTCTAAAAGCACTACTAAGCTTACATGTACTACACGTATTAATACTACTGTTTGAATGTACGACCAAGTACTTGGCACGAAGGGTTGAAATTGCTGTCTGTACGAGTGTATTGTCATCAGAAAATGCACCTATCGCCTTACATTACTATGTTACCGACATCTACTTTCTAGAAGTTTCTCGAGACTGGCCCCGGTAAGGCGTGAGCGAAATCAAAGACTTTTCAAACACCAGAGACACGTGCTCCAAGCTCCCTAGAACTTGCAGCATCGGGGTCAACATGTCCGATTCGCTGATCACACTCGTTACGCGGCCGTATCCGCTATCCCAGTCAAACCGCGTAGAGCCACGAATAGAGATCGTCTGACCCAAAAGCTTGGCTGCAAGTTTGCGTCCTGTTGCGTCAGCGTCGTTACCGCACAAGTGCGGAAACACCTTAATCAGTGTGCGCTCTGTAATGGTGAACGTCGTGGTCGTTCGAGCTATAAGCGAGTCCGCTACGCTCTTCTGTAATCCATCGAGTTCGACCTCGACGTCCTGGAACCAGAGCGAGAAGTAGGTCCAGTTCCTCATGATCGCTTCTACTCCACGTCCAGCGTTGTACATGACGTCAGGAGCCATCGTTGATCGCAGGAAATCCAGTTGCGCACTAGCAGTGGAGTCACGGGACCGATCAGACAGGTCCGAGGCGCGGAGACCGTAGCGGAACAGTCGGAAGTACTCTACCGCCACGTTCCACAGTGTCTTTTCAGTCGGCATCGCGGCCGCGACGGCATTACGACGTTGTTCCAGTTTGTCGATCTCTTGCTGGAGATACCGGTTATGCTCTTCCATAGTGTCCATGTAGTCTTGCTGTTTCTTTCGGTATCGGATCTGACGGACCCGACGGATCTCCCGAATTTGTTTCTGCTGCTCAATGAACCAGTCCTGCTTGACTACTTCGGCTAGTGGGTCGTGTACGGGGATCTCGGCTGCGTCACTGCTGGACTCGGCCAGTAGCATGAGCGTCGACGCAGTGGGACTGGTGGGTTCCTGACGCTTCCTCTTCCGGTCTACAGGTGATGGTTGACTATCCGCCATGCCGTAGTATCGCGGAGAGTCGTAGGGGTACTGCCTCATCGGCTCCTGTTCAGGATACCACGGTCCATTGTTCCTTTTGGTACGCTGCGTAACCCCACCGATTACAGCGTCACTGAGGACGCGAGTGGTTGGTGGATGGAGAACGCAAGTGTCCATGGCAGATGGCGTCGTGTCGACTGAGATATACTCGAATGAGTCTTCTTGTCTCGGCTGCGAATCGTGGAATGGGAGCTCGATCGACCACGATCGGGAGTTTTGTGGCATTATTTCCCGACCACAGACTGTTGTAATTTTGCTTACAGTTGTGAAAAGGGGCCTGCATAGAGCCATTGGGACGCGTAAACAGAGCGCAGAACGTAAGTTCCAACAGATGACTTGAATTCGGGAGAGTTTGGAAAGGATTCGTACGATTTGGAGAGCGTAACCGGACGAAACAGATTCCCATTGCCTGATCGCGTGAGACTCACTCAGGAAGCCACTGCCGATCTATTATAGCGCTCCACACTGTTCTCTTTCCTTTTATGCAGATACTGTAACTGCAAGTTACAGTGTACGATCTGTGAATGGGTATGACACATTTATCTAATTTGAACAATGGGGGTAAGCGAGGTTGGTGTCTGTGCGAAGCTGTAAACCTTACGACATAAAGCACCTGACCTGAGGCCAGAAAAGCTATTCTGTCAGACTGATATTTCCTCTTTTGCGCGAAATAGTGTCCAAATAGGGCATCTGCTTACTATCATTTACAAACCCCAATTCAAAAGTTGTGAACGATACATATGTATTTTGTGCATCCGTATCTGTGACTCACACACTCCAATCACTGCTGGCTTAACGAAACGTTAAGGTTACCGTATACACACTGGACTGGTTGGTTCAGAATCTGAACTCCAGACGGGGATGATAAACACCAGGAGCAAAAAACTCGGATGGGCGCTTACGGTATCCGTAAAAGAGCAAGTATAAATACACTACTGCAGTCCATACATTTGGTAATAGCGTACACCTTATGGACGTGACACATCGACATTCCTCATCATTGATTGCCGGAGGCAGCTGTCGTCGTCTATCGCTCTCTCTTATCTAGAGAGTTTGGCTGGATTTACAAGGGGCGTGGCCACCATTTCTCATTTTTACAGGTCACGCAATCGACTCACTTTATACGTGCTCACTTGCCACTCAGCATGCGTGCTTCAACCTCCCAACCGTCCACTTCTCAGTGACGATGTCATCGGAGGCGTCTCGTTGCGTGCCCAGCAAGCCAAACGCTACTTGGGCACCAATGGAGACGTTCGTATCCAAGACGGGAGTGGTTCTCCACAGTCAAACCATCTCCCTCCTCGTCAACCTTTGAAAACTGAACCAACCGGCGATGCTTCCGTAATTCAGAAGAGAAAGAGACAAGCAACATCTT